CGCGAGAGCCGAGTTCGCGATAAAAGAGTCAAGAAGAGTGATTTCCTAGTCTCAGCCCACCACCTCGCCTTCTCTGTCGCTCTCCTGGCCCAGGCCCATCAGTATCAGGTTGAGCTGTCCCAAACCGCACTTACCTCGGGTCTTCAAGCTCACACCGGCTCGTGATGCCACGGAGAGGGCTCCGAGATTGTCCCCGGTGGACCCCATCCGAGCCGATTGCGAGGGCATTACGGAGGTCATTGTCGGCGCCACCGACCGTGAAATGTCTCGTCCCGCAGCCCTCATGCACTAGGCTCATGGATGCAGTCATAATATGTAGGCCTTGTCTCCCGAAGTTTGGAGCAATAGCCGCAAATAGTACTTTTTGGCACTTCATCGCGACACGTCCAGGTGCCGACAAAGCGGCTTCCCAGCTCACCACCTCGCCTTCTCTGTCGCTCTCCTGGCCCAGGCCCATCAGCAGCAAGTCTGAGCCGTCCCAAACCGCACTTATCTTGGGTGATGAAGCTCACTCTGGCTCATACCACGGCTCTGCAGCCTCACACACGCCCGTTTCAGCCACAGACACCGCCGGCACGCACTCCCACTTCACACACGCTCAAGCACAACCCCATCAAAGCACATCCCTGCTCAGAATGGGCAAGGGCTACCACCTGGTGACCCTGGTAGCCTCTGGCTCGCCACTGCACTCGGCTCCTCTGCAGCGGTCTCGGCTCTCGCCACGACAGCACGCCGACGGCAAGCTTTGACGCCCGTCTGGTGGACCTGCTGTGGCCACAGCCGCCCCTGACATGCATCTCGCACCATGACTCGACACCGGGCCCGCTCAGCTTGGTCGTGGCGGCGTGTGTGAAGGATGCGCGTCCGAGCCGCTGGCTGGCGCCGCTTGAGCGTCCGAGATGGCCGCAGCAGAGGCCACGCGTCGCGCCGCCGGCCAAGCCCAGCCTCTCGGCGGTCGAGTTGGTCGAGCTGGCGGGCGGAGAGCCGCCAAGAGGGCAGCAGCGGAGCGTGAGAGGCCGTGCGAGCTTGCGCTAGCGAAGCGCTAGCGCTTCGGGCGATTTCAATAGGCGGCCTACCTTGGCCTTTAAGCACGGTCGAGCTCAGGTAGTACTTCCATCCGGGAGGGGGAGGGAAGGCTGAGTGCTGATCATTTTGCTCCCCTGCTAATTCCCATCCTTTTGCACGCGCTGTCAAAAGCAACGCTTCGTGTCCAGCTGTTAACGCAGAACGAGGGGGGGAAATCAGATGATGTGGCTCTTTTGGGGGTGATTGACTCGCGCGCATCTACTGGACGCAAGACGACAGGCTCGTGCTCACCGCGATGAGCCCGGGTCGCCTTCTGCCCTTCATTAAAACTCCTGGGCTCTCAATGCCTAGCCCGCCGTTCTGCAGCCGCGGCCCGCATGTCCAGACGTGCGGGCCTCGACGCCACACTAGGTCCATTGGGTTGAACCCTGGCTTGTCTCGAAGGTGAGGTATAGAGGGTCACATGGGGAATGCGAACTCGTCATGATGCGCGGCGACGGCGGCGTCGATATCTATCGACGCCGCCGCCCCACTTTGCTGGCATTGCCTGCAGATTGCGTGGTGCACTCGCAAATCAACCCGCCCTCTCGTGCCAAGGACGGCGCGAGAAACGCGCGAGCATCCACCAGCAGCCGTCTGGCTGCTGGTGCGAGCCATACTCAACACGCCGCGCGGAGCGGAGTGCGGAGCCATGAATGAGCAGTAGAGCCTGCGCCTCGAGGCACGGCCTGCGGCCCCTACCCTGCCGTCGGCCCGCCACTGGCGGCGTCGAGGACAGTTCGAGACGCCTTCAAATGCCGTCGAGACGACGAAAAGAAAATCCGGCTCAAACGATCCCATGACGCCTTTGCCCATCCTACTCATCCACTCCGCCGCCGCGTGGGCGCCCGACGCGCCTCGTTACTGGCCAAAGTATGGCGGCAGCCGCCAGGTCCGCCTCCTCGACGGCGCTTGGCGCTACGGCTTCATCGACGGCTGGGATTCGGGCTTCGACTCGATGAATGCCAGCTTCAGGCCGTCGGACGGCGCGACGCCAAACATGACGAGCGTCCCCTCCTGCATGGACGTCGTCGCCGGCGGCGCGGGCGGCTACCTCGGCCCTCGCGGCGTCGGCCTCTTTCGGACCTCCTTCCGCAGCCCCGCGGCCGGCTCGGCCGTGCGGCTGCAGTTCCAGTCGTGCTCCTTCTACTGCCGCGTGTGGGTCAACGGGAGGGAGGTGGGCGACCACCTCGCCGGCGGCTACGTCGCCTTTGCCCTCGACGTGCCTGCAGACGCCCTCTCTCCCGACGGCGGCGGAGAGAACGAGCTCTTCGTCCTCGCGGGCGCGCTTGCATCACCCGACACCTCTGCCCTTCAGCCGCCCGACACCCCTCCCTCCCCTCGCTGGCGCATCCCGCTGGCCCTGCCGCAGAGCACCGCCCCACACGCCGCCGGCGCGTCGCCGCGCGCCCTCCGCGCCAGCTCCCGGAGGCGCCTCATAAAAGCCGCTCGCTCGCAGACAACCGCTTCAACGCGACCACGGCGCCGATGCACACGGGGGGCGACTTTTGGCACTACGGCGGGATCACGCGCTCGGTCGAGCTGCACGCTGTGCCGGAGGCGGGACCGCTCCTGTGGCGGGCGCATGTGGTGCCGTCCTCGTCGGCGGTGGAGGCAGAGCAGCCCGACGGCGCGCCGGCGGCGGTGGACATCTCCCTCGTGCTGAGCGGCGTCGAGGGCGGGCGGGAGGAGCTCAAAGGGCAGGGAGAGCTCGGCGGGAAGGCAGAGTCTGGAGGGGCGGTAGGTGGGTCGCCTCGGTGCGGCGGCGGCGCGCAGTGCCCCTGCTGCCGTCTGCTTCTTCTCCCGGAACCGTCGATCACCTTTCCTGGAGCCTTCCTGCAGGTGCCGCATGCCCCGCGCCCGTCTACTACTTCTCCCTCGCCTTCGACGGCGGGGAGGCGGTGGCGAGGAACGGCACCGCGTCGGGCGGGACGGTGCGGGGCGGAGGGAATTGCCGCGGCCTGAAGGGCGAGGGCAGGGGAATCAAGGACGAGTGCCGCTGCAGGTGCGTCTTGAAGGCGTGCCGGTGCCGGACGCGAAGCCGTGGTCTCCGGATGCGCCGCACCTGCACACGCTGACGGCCACCCCGCGGCGGGCAGCTGCGTGGCTCTTCCGGGGCCGTTGCGGGACCTTTCCAGGAGGCCTCCCTGTAGGTGAGCATGGGCGGGCAGTCGGTGACCGAGAGGTTCGGGCTCCGCCGCTTTGGCGTGGACAAGGCGCGGAGTTTGCACGAGAGAAGGAGTGGCTCATCTGGACTCGTTGACCGTGCGCTGTGGGGATGGGCCAGGCGACGGCGCGACTCACCCTCAACGGAGAGGTTGCCAAGCTGGTTGGCTGGAACCACCACACACAGTGGCCGGTGACGGCGGCGAGCCCGACCGACGCGCGGCTCGGCGCGGCTGCGAAGAGGCGCTGCTCACGCGGCTCTGCGTGTGGTATAGGCGAGCCCGACCGACGAGCAGCTCGACGCCGACATCGCGCTGCTCCGCAAGGTGAGATATTCTAACACACATTGAGCCAAGCCATCTCGCTGCTCCGTCACTGAGACATTACCACTTTCTTATAGCATTCCACATGGTGGTATTGCGGTATTGCGGTCTTCTGCCTGCTAGGGCGGCGCCAACCTCGTGCGGGGAGCGCACTATCCGCACGACCCCCGCTGGCTGGACCGGCTCGACGAGGCTGGGATCCTCTTCTGGTCCGAGACGCTCGGCCCTGCGGTCAGCGTCGCAAACACGAAGGACTGGGCCTTCTTCATGGTGCACCAGAAGCGGCAGCTCTCCGAGATGATCGACAACGCCATCAACCACGCGGCGGTCTTCGCGTGGGGCTGGTTCAACGAGGGCCCTAGCGACCACCCGGAGGCGAGCCCCCCGCCCCCACGGCGCCAGGCGACTCCTCGGGGGGGCTGAGTGCAGCTGCCCCTCCTCCTCGCCAGGCATGCCCTGCCTATGGCGCCTGCAGCGCGCTCGCACGGGCCCGCGATCCCCCCCTCCCGCCCCTCGACGAGGCCGGGCAGCACTGCTCTTCACGCGTCCAGCTGTGCACAGGCTCGCGACCCCACGCGCTTCACGACGTGGGCGGACGACCACAAGACGAGCGGAGCCTTGCTGCGAGCACGCGAGCTCTCCCCGATGCGTGGGCTGATGATTGACTGTCCATCAACAGGAGCGGAGCCTGCTACGAGCACGCGAGCCTCGTCGCCTTCAACGACTACCCCGGCTGGTACTCGTCCAAGTCGCCGCGTGTGTGGGACGGCTTCGCGGCGGCGGTGGCCGAGGGGGGGCGAGCGCGGAGTTGCGGGAGAAGGAAGGGTGAGCGCGAGAAGAGACCAACTGTGAGCAGGTGGCCGAGGGGACGACGGCGAGCGGCCGCCACACCGTCGGCAAGCCGATGATGATCTCAGAGACGGGCGCCGCCCTCCCTCGTGTGCGAGTGAGCTCCGACGGACGCATGCCCAGCGATGAGTGGTCCGCGGATAGGCGCCGGGGGCGTGTACGAGTGGGGCGACAACGCGACCGCGTCAAAGTGGACGCTGCAGTACCAGTCGGCGGTGATCGGCGAGGACGTCGACGTGGCGTTGGCCAACGACCGCATCTCGGGCATCAGCTTGTGGCACTTTTATGACTTCAAGGTCGACAATTGCGGCAGCACCTGGCCGTGCCACGGCCGGCCGGGGCAGGAGAGAGCGGCGCCCTCCGCACACAAGACCCACCTAGTCACGCGCTTATTCGTCTCCATGGCTGACTTTCGTAGGAGAACGGCACCCACTGCACCTACGACCACCCGCCGCCCACCACCTTCGAGGAGCTCCGCCGGCTCGGCCCGCCAAACTGCACCGCCATCGCGCCAACCTTCCGGCCCGGAGGTACAAACCGCACGGGCGTGCTCGCCTTTCCTTTTGCTTGTTCACCGCCTTCTTTTTTGTTTAGGCACCAACCACAAGGGCGTGCTCGACTTCTGGCGGCGGCCGAAGCCGGCGTTCGCGATGGTGGCGGCAAAGTACCGCGCGGCGAGGGGCAGGCCCACTGCCTCAGAGTCTGCGATTATTGTCCAGTAACTAGGCAGAGCAAGCAAGGTGGTGCAGTCGATTGTGCTTTTTTGCTTTCATTGCGCACTCGCGTGCGAGAAGAAAAGCGAGGATACATCATGACACGTTGAAAATCTCTTTCGACGAGCTTCGCGCCAGGGAAGTCGGGCCCAGGCGCGCAACAGCCCCCGGCCCCGCCAGCTCGGGTGCTCGGCGCGCCGGCCGCCACGTCCGCCGGGCGCCGCTCGCTCTGCTTCTCGCGGCCACCAGAGAACGTCGGCAGGCAGGTTCTGGGGATGCTGATGCACCCATCGCGCGCCGCGCGCCGCAACCACAGCTGGGTCGAAGTGACGCGAGTGGCGGCCGACTGCCTCCCGGCCTCCGCTATCCCCTATCCTGATGGCACACCGTTTGCCGAGGGAGCTTCCCGCGGCTTTCCCGACGAACTTACAAGTGCGCACACTTAATGATTTTCGACCGACCGCAGGGAAACGCAGGGGCGCCCCCCCCCGACCGAGCTGCGAAACAACGGCGTCCACACCGGCCGCCGCTCGAGAAGCCCCAAAATTTTCTTCGGCGCTGCGCGCCGTTGCAGTCGTAGCTGTTTTAGGCTGTAGTCGAGTGTAGCTGTCGTGCCGCAAAAAGGTCCATGTGGCTAGAAAAAATGCTCCCGGTCGCCTCGAAAGCGCCCGCCGGTGTGTGTCCAAAGATGTAGCGCTACAAGTTTGGGGACGCATCCGACACACGGGCAGGTTTTCGCGCTTCTATGCTGGCCAACGGTGATGACGCCGTCGCGTCACCGACGGCTCGTGCTTGCGTATGATAGCAACCCCTCGTCCGACGGCAGCGTCCTCGTGTCCGCCACTCCGCCCGCGCGGCATCATTACTGTCCGCCTACACCACTGCGGCCGCGGCCGCACCCGCAATCGAGGGTGGAGAGTGGCCACGCGCTCAGTCACTCTACTACGTGCCATCTGAGCACGTCTTGACGTATACGAATGAATATCTCCCGATGCGTTCCGGGCCGCGAGCGGCAGAGGGGGTGCATTGTACCCACTCGCACGCCGGCACGAGCGCGGCGCCGCAGTGGGGCAAACGGGGCATCTGGGGCTAGCTCATCTATGAGCATCATCTCTGCCGCTTCTCGCCATCCCCGAGGAGCAGCGCGCCCGAAGCAGGTGAGTCACGGCCGCTGTCCAGCGAGCGCGGCGGCGGGCCTGAGGGAACCTCAAGGAGTAAATAGAAGTTCGAGATTCGAATCCTATTTGACAAAACCGGGAGCGTGAGCTGGAAGTGACGGGAGTACAAGAAAATCGCCCAAAATTTTCTTCGGCGCTGACGCGCCGACAAAGCTGGTGTCCGACCCCGACCGCCGGCCGAAACAGCCGCGTCCAGCCCGACCTGCGGCCGGCCGAAAATCATTAAGTGTGCGCACTTGTACCGTCGGGTACTTATTTTAAGAGCAGGTAAACAGCAATAGATCCGGCCCTCAAGCGGCCTAATCGATACCCAGCCCTCACGGAATCGGTCCCTCGTTGTACAGCAATCGATCCTTCACACTGCCCGCGCTGCCAAACTTGCTGAGAATCGGTCCCCCCACCTGTGGCGCGAAGCTGATATGTCTCCCGCGCTCGGCGCGCCGACCGCGCAGCGGCGGCAGACCACCCTCCGGTTCGAGGGGCGCCTGGGGGTGAGCGGGCTGCCTCCGCCAGAGTTTGGCTCGCCCACCTGTGCGGGCCCCCCTGTACCCCCTCCCCCCCCCGGCCCGGGTGTCTAGCAATTGGTCCCTTGGCAAGCGCGAATCGGTCCCCCTGGCTCCAGGAACTGATCCGGCACTACACCCGGATCTATTGCTGTTTACCTGCTCTTAAAATAAGTACCCGACGGTATTATCTTATCGTTTTTTGTTTTCAGTAAGAGTCCCGAGAGAGATTAGGCATGGGCGAGCGCTCGCAACCACACCCGCGCCACGGACGCGTACGGCGAATGTGCTCTGTGCAGAGAACAACGGGAACAAGCTGACCCGCGGGCCCGGAGTGCCTCAACCGCGAGGTGACTTCTCTGCTGTGAGAGAAGCGGGTGCGCACTTGGAGCACTTGGAGTGCGAGGGCGCGCGAATTCTTTTTCGATGCCCAGCGCGGGAGCCGGCGAGCCGAGAAGAGAGCTCAGCTCGAGCATGAGAGACCGGGTGCGGGATAGGTGTATTGTTGGCAAATCAAGACACACCGGGTGCCGGTGCGGCGTCAACCTCTTCCAGGTGCGAAGCGGGATGCGGCCGGCCCACAGCAACACACCGAAAAGAGAAAAACCGCATGCGCGGCAGTTGCTGGACAACTTGCGCGGGAATTCTTGCGCGCCGCTCCATCTCTGCAAAATGGCGCGCCGCACTCCGACGTCCGCGGAGGGCGTCGGCGACGTCCCTGCAAGCATTCGGAAGGCCGCCAAGGATGGCCAAGCGGGAACGGTGCTGGCGTGGTTCGACGGCGGCGGGTGGGTCGACGCGAGGCTCGAGTACACCTTCGGTGACGGCTCTCGTGCGAGCGGCATGACGCTGCTGATGCTCGCAATGGCCAATGGCCACGAGGAGCTGGCCGAGGCGCTTCTGCGGCGTGGCGCAGATGTCTCCTTGCAGCACAGCAACGGTGGCACCGCGCTGAGCCTCGCCGCCGCGAACGGCCGCGAGAAGCTGGTCGAGCTGGCTTTGCGGCACGGCGCGGAGGTCAATAAGCAAAATAAGATTGGCAGCACAGCGCTGATGGACGCCGCCTACAAAGGCCACGAGCGGATTGTCGACACGCTGATCCGGCTCGGCGCAGAGATCAACCTGCAGGCCAACAAGGGCGGCACCGCTCTGATGCTCGCCGCCGACGGCGGACACCCCGCCATGGTGCTCCGCTTGCTGCGGGCGGGCGCAGACATGAAGCTGCGCGACGTGTACGGTGAGACGGCGGTGCAGATCGCCAAGGAGAACGGCCACGCCGAGTGCGTCGAGGCTTTCAGGACGTATCTCGGGGAGGTGGCGACAGCTAGGAGCAAGGCGGCGTCGGCCGAGGCGGGCGGCGCAGGGGCGAACGGCGCACCCGCAGGCGAGGCGGCGGCGGGCGCCAGTGCCGTGGCCTCTGCTTTGATCGGCGAGGGCGGCACAGAGACCGCGCCGGGCAGCGAGGCGGCGCCAGAGGAGGTCGTGCTAGCGGCTCGGCGAGGCGACGGATTTCCGGTGCTGGCGTGGCTCGACGGCGGCGGGCGGGCCGACGCGACGTTCGAGCACACCTTTGGTGACGGCTCTCGTGAGAGCGGAATAACACTGCTGATGGTCGCAGTGGGCAATGGCCACGCGGCGCTGGCCGAGGCGCTTCTGCGGCGTGGCGCAGATGTCTCGTTGCAGAACAGCAACGGCAATACCGCGTTGGGTCTCGCCGCTGTGAACGACCACGAGAAGCTGGTCGAGCTGGCACTGCGGCACGGCGCGGAGATCAATCAGCGAAACAAGATTGGCAGCACAGCGCTGATGGCCGCCGCCTACGGAGGCGGCTTGCGGGTTGTCGACACGCTGATCCGGCTCGGCGCAGAGATCGACATGCAGAACAGCGACGGCAACACCGCTCTGATGGCCGCCGCCCTCGGCAACCATCCCACCGTGGTGCTCCGCTTGCTGCGGGCGGGCGCTGACATGACGCTGCGCGACGTGGTCGGTGAGACAGCGCTGCAGATTGCCAAGGAGAAGGGCCATGCCGAGTGCGTGCGCGCCCTCGAGGAGCATGCGGCGGCCAAGGCGGCGGCCGAGAAGGCGACGAAGGAGGCGGCGTGGGTTGCGGGGGCGGCGGAGAGGGAGGCGGCGAGGGCGGCGGAGGAGAAGGAGGCGGCGCGGCACGCCGACGAGCTGCTGGCGGAGGTCGAGGCTGAGAAGCGCGCCAAGGGCAAGAAGGGCAAGAAGAAGAAGAAGGGCGGAGGGGCGGGCGCGGCTGGGCCGTCGCAGGAGGCGGAGGAGGGTGCCGAGGCGCCGTCGGAGGCAGCTGAGGCCGCGAAGAAGGCCGAGGAGGAGAGAATGATGAGGCTTCTCGAGAAGTGTCACGAGGAGCGGATGCGGTTCGGCATCACGGCGGCGAGCCAGGCAGCGGCGTCGGCAGAGGTGGCTAAGGCGGCGCGCTTGGACGCTGCGGCGGACGAGGCGGAGGAGGAGGCAGAGGCGGAGGAGGAGGAGGAGGCGGCGGCCGTGGCGGCGCTGGCGGATGCCGAGGTGGCGCGGGCGGAGGCCAGGGCGGCGCAGGTGGCAGCGACAGCAGCAGTGGAGAAGGTCATGGCGGCGCTGGAGGAGGCCAAGGCGGCGCTGAGCGAGGCCAAGGCGGCGCTGAGCGAGGCCGACTCGGCGCTTGAGGGGCGCGAGACGGAGCTTCAGGCGGCGATAGGCGCTGCAGAGGCCACGGGAATTGCTGCGGGCGCGGCGAGGGCCAGGGCGGACGCTGCCAGGGAGGCTGCGGATGCGGCCCAAAGCGATGCCGTTGCATAGACCATGCTGTTTCTGGAGGGGCACGCGGGTTCGATTTTGCCGCGCATTCGGTTGTGTAACACGGGTTATACGTTTGCTGGGGCTGTACTTGTGTGGGGCGCGCATGCACACTATTCACTATTCTTACTATTCACCACATGCTCATGCATAAAAAGAAAAAGCTGAGCCCTGGTCCGACAGCCTGACAGCAAACCCCAGACAGCGCCTGACAGTGCCCGACAGCCTGACAGCGCTGACAGCACTTTCTCTGACAGCCTGACAGCACGTATCTGACAGCCTGACAGCAGAGTCTGACATCAGAGGGGCTCCGTCGCTGTCAGGCCCTAACGTGACAGCCTGACAGCTGCCTGACAGCCCGACAGCACACAGTGGCCTGACAGCAGCGCTGACAGCGCGACAGCAGCACAGACCGTACACAGCCGTGCAGCCTCTCTCTTGCGCCCCATGAGGGTATAACAAAACATGCAAAGACATTTGAGATTTTCATCTGCTCGCCTTTTGAGATTTTCATTTCTCTGCTCGCCAAGTTTAGGTGAGCCAAGTGAATTTCGTTGAAATTTGAACCCTTGGAGATCCAGAGAATCTTTCAACTCCAACTCTAAAAATCCAAGAGAGGGGTTGGAGGGCGGGAGAATCCAAAAAAGCCGACCACCCAAGAAAAAGAAAACCGAAACAAACGGCTCATCTTTCATCGCGGCAAGGGGGGTCGGCAGATCCAAAGGAGGCGCGAGGGGGGTTAGTTTCGTCCGGTGCACTCTACCAAATGATCCGCCTCCGTGGCGCGTTCCCTGGCAGTGCCTCTCTCCTTGAGTCCAGGATGCCAGCCGTCCGCCGCTATGAGTTTGGAGTCTCGCTGTACGGCGAGCCGGTCGGCCGGGCGGCGATCAACGTGGAATGCAGTAGAGCCGACGGCTTCCAGGAGGTCGAGAATGCGCTCTCGCGCCTCCACAATGCATGCCACGATGCAGTGTCGAGCATGCAGCTGAGAAGCTTCCTCAGGCTCGTCTGCATCTCAACGACGCCCGGGCCGCTCAAGGAGTGGCTCGGAGAGGAAGCGTACGAGCAGGCACTGCTGGTCGCGATGCTGGCCGGCATGCTTGCTCCCTTGGCAGCAGGGCAAGGCCTCACGGCGATGGCGCAGGTGAGGGTCCGAGCTCTCGCCCTGGAGAAGCTCCGCGCGGGCGACGGCAGCTGGGTTCTGCCGGTCACGACTGCAGCTCTCGCGGCCACCTGCCTGGCAGCCGATCACGAGGTTCTGGTCGAGATTGTGAGCGCCAGGCCACCGGTCGAAGAGAGCGAGGCTGCGGTGCAGAGCACGCTACTAATGGTGCTGGGGGAGGTGCGCAAGAGATCCGATGACACCTGCAGTCGCCTCGCAATGGTGCACCCAGTGCTGCTCGCGCTCCTTCAGAGCAACACGGCCAGCTGCTCCGAACTCGTCGAGTCTGTGGCGGAGGCTGGCGAGCTGCAGCTTCGCGCAAAGTGCGCGCTGGATGCCGACTCGCACCTGCGCCGCAGCTGCGACCAGTTCCGGCGGCTTCGCGACGGGATAGAGAGCATCAACAAGGTGGCCGTCACGGAGGGCGACCCACTCCAGGAGTTGGACCTTGACAAGGCGACCAACAAGCCCCCAGCGTCGGATCCAGACAAGCCGCCAACAGTGGCTCGCGCCACCTGCGATTCGCCTCCTGTCGCGGTGGTGCCGGCGGTGGCGCGGCTGCTCAAGACGCCGACCAAGAGGTCGAGCCCAGCCTCGAGCGGCGACCAGCGGCCCAAGCTACACGCGTGCACCGCCTGTCAAAAGGCGAGGACCGCATGCACCGACGAGCGACCGTGCCCTCGCTGCACTCGGCTCGGCCTGCTGTGCGAGGGGACCGCCAAGCCGATGCGCCGCGCCTGTGCGCATTGCAAGCGGGCCAAGGTGCGGTGCAACCTCAACGATGCCAGTCCCTGTGAGCGCTGCGTGCGCCTCGGACTCGACTGCTCTGCGCGCCCCCCTCCAAAGAGGCCACGCGATGAGGGCCCAAAGCCCGACCCCCTTCCCGCGGACTCGGGTCTGGGCCTGGCCGCCTCCGGCGTCTTCTCCGTGGGCGTGGACGAGGCGGAGCTGAGCCCGATCTCGCTGGCGACGCTGCCGGGCGGCGAGGACTTTGCTGACCTCCTGTTTAAGGTTGACGATTTCGACTTTGACGGCGCCGACGTGCACATGTTGTGATTCGTACATTCGAAGGGCATGGTTGAGCTTCTCTGCACTCTGGCATGGTGACTTCTCTGAAGACTGGTGATTTCATGAGCATTAGCATGACCACACTATCTTCAAAAACTGTTCGGTTTTCAAAGGCAAAACACACATCGCTGACACAAATCTCACACAACCCCTACACACTACACGTCGAGCCGAGACGGACAACACCAACACCCCGACCCCCTCATCACCAACCTTTACTTGAGCACATCTCCCTGCGAGCTAGAATCTCCGCATTTTCTCCCCTAGTCATCCGCCCGCGCCGCGCGCCATCTATGGACGTCTAGACTAGTGCAGCCCGACTGACGGATTTATCCCAGAGGTGTGGTCGACGGACGACCACAGCACCACCACACTCTACGATCTTAAATTTCAGTAAACAAAGGAGGCTGCCCACGTCTCGCCCATCACCCCGACACCACCTCCAGCATGCGCCGCACGAGGTGCGCCGCGCGCTCGCAGATTTCCACCCATACCGACGTGGCGCCCGCCATCGACACGGCGTCCTCTTGCATGAGTCGCGCGGCGCCGAGCCGCAAGTCCGCAGCAGCGGCGCGGTCGGCGGTGTCGCGAAGCGCAGCGGGCGAGCTCAGCCAGTCCGGGAGCGGCGGCAGCGATGCACACGCGTGGCACTTGCAAAACACGTCCTGGCTCCCGCACGGCGCTGCCAGCTTGCGGGCCGTGTATGCGCTGGCGGCGCAGCTGGCCCAAGCCTATGTTCGCCGAGATTAGCCGAGGTGAGCGAGATTATGAGCGAGATTGAGGCGCACCCACCGCTCCGCCGACTTTGACCTGCGATTCCGGGTCGCAGCACTGCGCCGCAGTGACAAAGGCGTCGGCCGCCGCGCTGAACTCGCCGAGTGCCGCCCGCGCGTTGCCGAGGTCGCCCCATCCCAGAGGGATGGCGGGCGCCAGCTCGGTGGCCCGCTCGAACAGCTCTGCAGCGGCCGCGTACCCGCTCCGCCGGCTCTGGCTCTGGCCTCGCTCGCAGAGGTCGAGGTACCGGATCGAGCCTGCCCGCGAGAGCACCTCCGTGTCGAGCTGTGCGAGGTGCGGCTTGCTCTGCTCTGTCAGGACGCGATCAAACGAGCCGTCCGAGACGATCTGGACCGCCTTGCAGTAGCTCTTCTCGGCAGTGGCATGGTCGCCGACGCCGGCGTGAGCCTCGCTGTGCAGGCGCCAAGCGACAATCGAGTCCGGATCGGCCTCCACCACATCCTCCGAGGTTTGACGCAGGCATTCGGGCGTCGCCATCCACGCGGGCAGGGGCGGTAGCCGGAGCTTGCACGCCGTACACGTCCCGAGCGAGCACTCTCCGCACCCCTTCATCGCCTGCTTGCGAGCCTGGAAGGCCCCGCACACGCTCGCCGCCCACGGCGGCGACGCCACCGGGCAGCGCTCCGCGCACGCGACAAAGCTCGCAAAGGCGCCCAAGCAGTCGCCTGAAGCCAGGCGCACCTCCGCCAAATCGCCCCAGGCAAGCGGGTTGGCCTGCTGGAGCTCGATTGCGCGCCGCAGCAGCACGTCCGCCTTGGCGTGGTGCCCGCGAGCGCTCTCGGCGCGGGCCTCCTTGCACAGCTTGGTGTAGCTGGCGGTCCGTGGCGACGGCGGCGCTGCCGCGTGCCCGAGAGAGCTCTGGATGCCTGCCTCCGTGCACAGCCTGCTGTGGCTGGCGGCCCGAGCCGGCGACGGCGACGGCGGTCCACTGGCGGTGAGCCAAGCCTTTGGACCATTGCTCTCAATCAGCTCGGCGTCCTCCGGGATTGATGCGACACGAGGCGGCGAACGAGGCGGCGAACGAGTCGGCTTGCCATCTCCACTCACGGCCTCAGCTACAAGCGCGAAGTCCGGCGGGTCGATGGCGGCTCGGCGGTAGAGCGGCTGCATTCGCCGTGACTCGTGACGCGGACTGATGGGGCGGTGAAGGTGCTTGTCGTGGTGCAGGCAGGACGATCCGCTCCAAAGGCAATGACTTCAGCTGGGTTCATGATGTCGTGAACAGGCTCCCCTGGGCTGGGCGCCGATGATGACGCGGCGGCGCACACACTGGAGGGTCAAGGAGTTGCCCAGAAACGATTTCCAAACGGCGACACCGTTTGATTGGGGGAGCACGAGGGATCTTCTCCTTCTTCGCGCGACTTTGTCGCTTGGGGGCCTCCTCTACCTCTTCCTAGTACATGTATTGGAACCAGCAGCGTGTTTGAGTGAGTGCGATTCGGTGTGCCTAGTAAGCCGTGGGGGACGATGTCAAGCGCTACGCGCGTTTTCTTTTCTAAGCAGGTTGTGAATGAGCTTGCCTGTGGCGGGGGTGGGCGGGTGCACGGAGCTAAGTGCCTCGCCACTCTCGCAGGAGTCGCTTAGGCGGCTCCCGTGGTGTACCTGTGTTAGTGCCAGTGCGAGCCAGTCCCGTGCCCAGTGTTGTGCGAGGGAGCTTTGTTGTAAAATTCTTTTCTAGTGCGCGCCAGTCCCGTGCCCAGGTCGTGCGAGGGAGCGCCTGGTGCACTCGAAGCGGCAGCACGAGGACGAGGCGAGCTGGTCGACGCGGTCGTGGCTGTCGCTGCAGGCCCAGCGCATGTCAGTCGCGCTGCAGCTCGCGGCGGCGGAAGAGATTGCGACCGAGCTCAGGCTCGCCGCGGCGTCGGAGGACGCCGCCGTCGCCTAGACTCCCCTGCGTCACTACGTGCCTCCCCGTCTTTGTAGCCTGGCGTTTGTGCCCCGTTTGTGCCGCGTCCCGTGCCCCCGAGTTCATTTCATA